TTGAGGTTAACTATTGCCTTTTTAGTTTTTAATCAGTTAACCTCACAAATAACCAGTTCTTAACATTTTGTTGCTCTCATCACAAGTTAAACTTATCAATGGGTATCAATTGGCCATCCAATGTGAACAGAACTATTATATGTCCTTTATTTGTTGGAAAATTGAGGTTAACATATTTTCTCAGAATCAGTCTTTTGACTCTCCTGAACAATTTATTTACCACCTCAAAAACCTATCTTCTCCTAGAGCTTTTATCCATTTCACCTCAAATTTGGAACTTATGTTCCTGACATGAATTTAAAAGTTTGTTATGTAACGATTGTTGTAATTTTGCTCCTAACTCTTTTTATGAGGTTAACCGTTTTAAATTTTGTAAACCGCACTCATGGTTAACCTCATATCTCAGCTTTGGAGCAAGATATCATAAATCGTTACATAGCAAAAACTCAAAATACCTTGAAGAACATTGTTGCCAAGTTACAAGGTTCTAAGTCATAAACTGAAAAAGAAGATAGATTTTGAACACAATTTCATATACATTTTTCATTTACAATAGAATTACAGGTAAACCTCAAAATTCAACGCGAGATATCTTCAAATAGGAAACTTTGTTTTCGGTAAGGACAAAAGCATTTAAAAATTTAGATCGAGCTCTACAACATATCTCAAAATCTCAAAATTGACCTCGGACCCCCCCCCCCCCCCCCCCCCCCTAGTGGCCCCTGTGGCCTTAACTTTAAGCCGAAGCTGGAAAATGAAATCTTCGTTACACAGAATTTAATTATTCAGCAATTATTAATGATGAGTGTCAACATTATATAATATTATATGTATTCCTTTAAAAAGCACAAAACCCGAACAATGAAGTCGCGTGATGTTATGACGTCACGTGATGTTATGTATGGACTGACGACAGCAAAATTACGTAATCATGGCCTGATCCCCCCCCCCCCCCCCCCCTTTCGACTTTTTTCACTTTGAAAACACTTTTCTCTACGTTTCATGCAGATCCTGATCATTATGAGCCGAGATCATTGTTATGATATCCGGCCAAGCACCTTCCAAACTACTTACTTTAGCAGCCAGATACCCGATCCATTCCTAAATTGTATCACTATCACTTATCAGAGTGAAATTGAGTGGAATTTGAATTAAAATATTGTCAAATTGTTATTATTCTAGAGGGTAATCAGCGTAATCAACAGCCAACCCCCCCCCACCCCCCCCCCCCCCATAATCAACCGTAATCATTTGGGAAGAAACCCCTCCCCCCTCGGCTGACTACGTAATAATATGTGAACGACCCCTTATTAGAATTTAAATTTAAATCAAATTTACACAGTATTTCAATTTTGATACAATAAGACTCTTCAGTTACAGTATGGTTTGTCATTTGTAGCTGAAGCTGAAGAATGTATGTAAGCTGTTGAGGACACACTATGTAATTGGATTATTGATATCCAAGGGATTTATGTTAGATTATGACTATGTTAGTTATGAGATCGGGGTTTATATTCGTATAATTAATATAAAACCACAATATTATTAAATTGATAAGTGGTGACAATGTGGTACTGGTGATAATGTGGTGACAATGTGGTGACAATGTGGTGCCAATGAGGTGACAATGTGGTGACAAAGTTCTATATTTCAGAAGATGTTCTCCGTGACACCTGGTGACATTGAGCTACGTCCCATGACTACACACTCTACAGTGAGTAACTTATTGATAATACACAATATACTACATAAAGTAGTAGATCAAGTACTAACAACCACTAGACCAAGTCTTAGACCAAGTACAAGTACTAACAATCACTAGACCAATTATTAGTAGACCAAGTACTAGACCAAGTAGCACTGTATTAGACCAAGTAGTACTGTACTAGACCAAGTAGTACTGTACTAGACCAAGTAGTACTGTATTAGACCAAGTACTAGACCAAGTAGTTCTGTATTAGACCAAGTACTAGACCAAGTAGTACTGTATTAGACCAAGTACTAGACCAAGTAGTTCTGTATTAGACCAAGTACTAGACCAAGTAGTACTGTATTAGACCAAGTACTAGACCAAGTAGTACTGTATTAGACCAAGTACTAGACCAAGTAGTACTGTATTAGACCAAGTAGTACTGTATTAGACCAAGTAGTACTGTATTAGACCAAGTACTAGACCAAGTAGTACTGTATTAAGGTATTAGACCAAGTAGTACTGTATTAGACCAAGTACTAGACCAAGTAGTACTGTATTAGACCAAGTAGTACTGTATTAGTGTACGCAGTGGATATTTTGAGTCAATTTTTCTGGAAGTATCATTATTAAGTTAAATTATATAGATTTATAATATTAACCGATTACTTAAGAGAATGCGGAGTTATCATTAGTAGCGGCCGAAATAATCATTGTGCAACGAGCATGTAAAGGCTTATGGCAAGAACACGACGGAAGTGTGATGAGGGTAGTGGCTGAAAATACTGGTAGGGAATTAATGATAATCATAGATAAAATTAGACGGCCTGTAGTTCGATGTTGGTTGAATAAGCACCAGGGAGCACGAGAAAATCAGGCAGACTTGTTGACAAGACAGTGCGTGCTATAGATTAGAATGCATTTAATAGAGAATAATGAGTTTTCGGAGCATACAGCATAGGCGGGCCGTATTTTGGTGCGGCACATACAGGGCTGGTCGAGGAATATATAAGGTCGGACGGACGGTCGAGAAGGAGATTGAGTTTTCCCGATTCGATGGAGTGTCATTGATGCCGGACTGTAAGGGAGCCTGAACTGGGAGAGAGAGAGTTGGTGGTTTGTCCTATCGAAGGATAGTTGGTGGTCGGAACCTGTAACTCTGGTTGAGTTCTGGTTGGCCTAGAGAGGGATTGATAGTAGACATAATGGCATGGGTCATGGCGGATTTAAGCTAGGAGTTTCAGCGTGAATATAGACAAGTATTGACGGCCGACTTTATATAATATAATAGTATGTCTGGCTATAGTATGTGTATAGTGATTGTATTTCATGATGTGATATGTTATGGTAGGATAAGATCATTAGATCGGTGGGCGATTTTGGGCAATATAAGTCTGGTGAACTAGGAGTTAAAGCAGGAGTTTGTCGAATTATTCATTGTATTGTTTTATAGTTTAATATCTTGTAACCATCGTTATTACTCTTGTTTTCGTTGTTCGTACCTTAAATTGATACAAATAATCTACGAATCTGGAGCAGATGGTGACTGCTTACAATGGCGCGAACGGTAGGATCCTACTTTATTATAGGATAGATTATTTGTATTTTAATTGAGGTAAGGGAGAGATTGCTTATCATTCGAATGTGAATTGACCGGTGTGAGGAGTAGAGTTACGTTACGTTGTAACAGTGTTGCCAGTCAGATTAGGGTCATCGATTAGTTCAGTGCAAGAGCAGTAAATGAAGACACGGTTAAGTGTGGAGTTTAAATGCAATTTTTGGGTTTCTTTCATCATGTAAGGGAAGGAAGGTTAGGTACCGGAGGGGCATAGGTTAGGAGGAGCAGAGGGGATATTTTGAGGAATAAATATCAGTCCGTTGAGAGATTTTATCGAGAGAATGTTATAATTATTATCGAGGGGGTACGTGAGCAGTTCATGGTTTACTGTTTCTGATTTTAAGTTTTAAGACGGCAGACTTGACATACTTTCAGCCACCAGAGCCTCAGTAGGAGTGGCTGCCTGCTGAATCGTTCTGTTGTGTGTCAGACTTGTTTTCTTTTTGTAGCGCTACATATTTTATATTATGGAAGAGAGCGAGAGGGGGAGTTTGGAGTGGGCTGGCGAAATTGCGACCAACATTTCAAGGATTGGGGGAGAGATGTAATTTATATAAATGAGACCCGGGTGCTGCTAGCACTGGAAAGGGAGAGGGAGGTTATTTAGAGAGATGTGACGTCACTTGTATCGAATTAAAGCTGTGTATAAGTTTGAAAACGTGGTACGTTTTGAGTGAGATCTAAATTTTGAGGGGAATGGTATTTTCTATGATGAAAGAAACTAGGACTACTTTTCTGTGAAGAGTGTGATGAATTGACAGGCCGAATATATGAAAAAGATAATCCGACGGCGATTTTGGAAATTAAGTCATCAGGTGACTGTGTGAGACACGGCAATTTTGAATATTAAGTCATGGAGTGACTGTGTGAAACACTGTGATTTTGGAAATTAAGTCATGGAGTGACTGTGTGAAACACTGGTTTGTCAATTAGAGTAAAAGCCGAGAAATGCGGGGCTGAGAAATGGAACGGACAGGTGAGTATTGTATTAAGTGAGTGTAAATTTTGTATAGTATGGAGTTAGGGCGAGATAGAAAGCTGTGGATATGTTGGTGTCCACTGGAAACAATCATATTAGTTGAAATGTCATACTATGTTACGTCTGAGCGGTTGTTTACTATAATAAGAACATCTGGAGCTGAGCCATGGTATAAATTCCCTATAGAGGGGCTATTGTTAAATGTTCAGTTATAGTTTGCGAGTTTTATAAAGTATTCAGTTTCCTCTATTAAACGAGGTAGCGGTTGTTTGCGCGTTTAGTTTGCTTGTTTTGATTGTTTTACATATAAATCCATCTGTAAACATGGCGGTGGCATTAATAGTGGTAGTTACTAATAGTGGTTTTTACTACTTTACTAGTGGAAATGCTAGTGAAACGTGGCGAGAGGTGATAATAGTGGAATTATTATTGGAATTATTATTGGAATTATTATTGGAGACATGGTGGTGGCGATAATAGAGGTGACTAGAGGAATTATTATTGGAATATGGTGGTGGAGATAAATAGCAGAATTATTATTGGAACCAGCTGTTGGAACGTGTTGAGGAGTGATGTTGGAGGGAAAGGCATAGATGCATTAGGAGTGCAGTGGTAGTACTAGTGGTAACTAGTGGAAATATTATTAGAATGTGGTGGGGGTCATATTGGAATGAGAAATATGATCGGAGGACATCTGGAGGGATGGGTTGGAGACTGGTTGGAGGAAGTATGGGTGGACGTATTGGAGATAAATTGGAGAGAGACTGGAAAGGACGCATGTATCATTGGAGGGAACATGGAAGGAGGCATTAGAAGCATTTGAAGGAGATATAAGGAGACATTGGAAGGAGACATTGGTAGGAGAAACAAGGAGACACGTGGAGTGAAACACGTGGAAGGAGACACATGGAGACATAGTAAGGAGAGATATGGATGATATTGGAAATATTGTGGTGGAAAATATACAAGTGGTAAATAGTGAAAACATTATTTAAACATGGTGAGTGATGAAATAACGTGTAGAATGTGGTGAGTGGTGACAGAGCATTAAATATCATTCCAGGGTAAATATCGAAGGAGAAACATTTGAAGGAGATACGAGGAGATATTAGAAGACTTTGTTGGGAGAAACGAGGAGACATCGGAGGAGACACGTAAAGAAATTGGAAGTATAGATACGGAGAGATTTAAGGGAGACACCTTGAGAAATTGGAAGGAGACACGCAGACATATTGGAAGAAGACATATGGATAATCTTGGAGATATTGCGGTGGAAATACTAGAGATATGGGGAGACATTGAAAGACACTGAAAGAAGACATTGAAAGGAGACACATTGAGACATTGTAAGAAGACACAAGGATACATGAAAGCATAAATAGGAAACAAGATTGGAGGACATATCGATTGGAGGTCTATAGCTCAGAATGTAAACGGTAAAGTGTAAAGTGGGGAAAAGAGAAAGACAGATGGTAATGGGAGTGGAAGGGTGCGAACCAAATTCAAGCACTGATTCAGAGAGTAACTTAGAGACGAATGGTACGGAGGGAGGAAATAAAAAATACAAAAAGGAAGATGAGAACTTGAAGGAAAGACCATACATTCATCAACGAAGAGAAGAGGAAACTGATACAAAAAGTAGCACAGGATACGACTCAGATAGTAGTACAGAGATCAGTAGTGCGGATGAAGAAGAGTCAATGACAAGAAAGGCGAAAAAATTAAAATATGAAGACGAGAGTGAAATAGGGCACGAGAAATGGTTTCGTTTTAGACTGTACATGGAAGCGTAGAGATGATTAAAAAATGGAAAGAAGGAGAATTGGACGGGGATGTATGCCGAACTAGAAAAAGTACGGAAAAGGAGAAACAATTTAAGAGCGGAAATGATTAGTGTTTTAGAGAAAAAATAAAGATGCTAGAAGATTCAAGGACGATAACAGAAGGCAGACTACAACGGAGAATAGATATCTTAGAAAGGATGGACGAAAAAAGAAGAAAAAGAGAACTAAAGGGGAAAGAAAACTTACAGATTGAGGTAATTGGAAAAGAAAGACAGATAAAGAAACCAACCGTGGAAAAGTAGAAGTACATGCAAGCTAAAAATGAAAGAAATTGAAAGACAATATATCTGTAACCAGAGTCGAGGACACATGGATTGGGGGTTGCATGAAAGCAGAGACCAGAAACAGGATTCGAGAACACATGAATTGGAGGTCACATGGAAGCATAAAAGGGGGATAGATATGGAGACCAAGAGGTGGGGACAACTGCTGATATCCTAAACGGAGAGAAAGTGTCGGAGAAAATAGCTGATATCCTAGACGGAGAGAAAGTGTCGGAGACGGCAAGACAGTGTTGGAGAAAATTACTGATATCCTGGGCGGAGACACAGAAACGGGGATACTAACTTATATCCTGGACGGAGAGACAGTGTCGGAGAAAATTACTGATATCCTTGGCGGAGAGACGGGAAAAATTGGTGATATCCTGGATGGAGACACAGAGACGGAGAGATTAATTGATATCCTAGACGGAAACACAGTGTAGGGGGACAAAATGCGGATATACTGGATGGAGACACAAGGTTGGGTACAAATGCTAATACCCTGGGCGGAGGCATTTATCTTGGATGGAGACACAAAGGTCAAGAAAGGAGTAGAAAACGAAAACGGAAAGATTGAAGGACACATCGATTGGAAAATGCATGGAATCATAGATCGGAGACAAGATTGGAGGACACGTTGATTGAAGGTCGCATGAAAGCATAAATCGGAGACCACCGAAGATATCGGAGATGATTGCTGATATCCTAAGCGAAGATAAAAAGTTATGTGCTGAACGACGAACAAAGACATGGAACAGAAGGCCAGATAAGGATATTCTGAACGACGAACAAGACACGGGTAAGAAGAGACGAGATTGAAATGGACACATTTAAAAAAAAACGTTTAGAAATTGTGAGTTGTAATTAAATTATTATAGTTGGGTTCTAAAAATTTGTGATTTTAAAATGTTGAGGAAGTGCAGGAAGGAGTTTTTAAGGAGTGTAAATTATTATACCAGTATAGTAGGGTTCTAAGAAAGATCAGATTTTGAGTGGGTTGTTATAAGTTGTGTAAGCCGTGATCGGGCAAGGTATAGGGTCTTTAGTTCGAGATTTTCTATTAAATTTGTATACTATTATAGTAAGGTTCAAAAAAATATCATATTTTGTAAAGTTGTGTACGCAGTGGATATTTTGAGTCAATTTTTCTGGAAGTATCATTATTAAGTTAAATTATATAGATTTATAATATTAACCGATTACTTAAGAGAATGCGGAGTTATCATTAGTAGCGGCCGAAATAATCATTGTGCAACGAGCATGTAAAGGCTTATGGCAAGAACACGACGGAAGTGTGATGAGGGTAGTGGCTGAAAATACTGGTAGGGAATTAATGATAATCATAGATAAAATTAGACGGCCTGTAGTTCGATGTTGGTTGAATAAGCACCAGGGAGCACGAGAAAATCAGGCAGACTTGTTGACAAGACAGTGCGTGCTATAGATTAGAATGCATTTAATAGAGAATAATGAGTTTTCGGAGCATACAGCATAGGCGGGCCGTATTTTGGTGCGGCACATACAGGGCTGGTCGAGGAATATATAAGGTCGGACGGACGGTCGAGAAGGAGATTGAGTTTTCCCGATTCGATGGAGTGTCATTGATGCCGGACTGTAAGGGAGCCTGAACTGGGAGAGAGAGAGTTGGTGGTTTGTCCTATCGAAGGATAGTTGGTGGTCGGAACCTGTAACTCTGGTTGAGTTCTGGTTGGCCTAGAGAGGGATTGATAGTAGACATAATGGCATGGGTCATGGCGGATTTAAGCTAGGAGTTTCAGCGTGAATATAGACAAGTATTGACGGCCGACTTTATATAATATAATAGTATGTCTGGCTATAGTATGTGTATAGTGATTGTATTTCATGATGTGATATGTTATGGTAGGATAAGATCATTAGATCGGTGGGCGATTTTGGGCAATATAAGTCTGGTGAACTAGGAGTTAAAGCAGGAGTTTGTCGAATTATTCATTGTATTGTTTTATAGTTTAATATCTTGTAACCATCGTTATTACTCTTGTTTTCGTTGTTCGTACCTTAAATTGATACAAATAATCTACGAATCTGGAGCAGATGGTGACTGCTTACATTAGACCAAGTACTAGACCAAGTAGTACTGTATTAGACCAAGTACTAGACCAAGTACTACTGTATTAGACCAAGTACTAGACCAAGTAGTACTGTATTAGACCAAGTACTAGACCAAGTAGTACTGTATTAGACCAAGTACTAACAGCCACTAGATCACACTGTTTCAGAACAGTGCAGATTCCCACGTGTCCCTCCCTGGCATGGTAGATGAGGACTATGTTGCTCCAGATTGTCAATACCCTCCGCCTCAGAGAATGTACCATTCTGTTTACGAGAACAAGAATGTTTCCTCCCAGGTAATTAACTTTATTAGCTTATAATTGGTTAATTGGTTAATTGTTTCGTTTTTTAATTTGAACGTTTTTTGTCGTTATGCATTTGTAAAGGATATGACACAGTTTGAGTAAGCACAGTAAGATAACCATTGTTATTTTGTACTCAAACTCGAATAAAGCCAAGTAGCGCACTCAAAAGCATATTATCTTCACAATGTGTCACAAGCTCTTCTCACTGATGAAACGTTCCACATTCCTATTATTCCTTATATGGTCATGTCAAATATTCCTAGTGCATTAGCCGCATGGTAGTTGAGTAGTTGATTGCTATGTAGACCGAGTTGATCTGGATACCAGTGGGGACACGTGACGGTTATTTTAAAGTTTTAACCAATCAGCGATCACCTGTGACAAATGAAATCTCAGCATTCTTGTCACGTGTCCGATATGTGCTGTCACGTGTCCGATAATATGTGCTGTCACGTGTCCGATATGTGCCGTCACGTGTCCGATATGTGCTGTCACGTGTCCAATATGTGCTGTCACGTGTCTGATATGTGCTGTCACGTGTGAGATATGGTTCACCTCTCTCCACCAGTATCCAGACCTATTGAGTTTGAGTAATTGCATGGCTTGTGGGGGGGGGGGGGGGCTGTAAGCATTGTTGTGCGCAATGTCGGAGCACTCAAACACAAATTTCAGTTTAAAATATGGTGGTGTTATTTTATTCAATCATTGTATAGTAGCTTGTTGTGTAATGTGTAAGGATTGTGAGAATGTGAGTGCTATCATTTGATGGATATTAAAAAGGAAATTGAAAATATGATTTATTATGCAAGCGTCTTTGGTTCGAGAATCAAGATGCATTTGATGAAAACACAATGTATGGACATTGTTAAAATATGAGATATGCATGGACTTTTGGTAAAGATTCGGGTATTTCACATTCACTCTATTACTAAAAAGTAAGGCGTTGACATATTATACGTTTTACATTTACAAGCTTAGTTATAATCGATGTTTCTGGTACAAATTTTAAAATAAAATTTGATAAAGTTAAAATAAGAAAGTTACATTTTGTTTGCAGGAATCGTACTGTTTAGCAGAACCAGATATAGTATTTGCAGAGTTTGTAAGTTTCAGCAGCGATATTACAGTTTACACTCGATTTAGCATTACCCTCGCAACTTGCATGTGGGATTGATGTGTTTTTAATCATAATATGTGTATGTTTATTGACACAATGCAATAT